AGATTTCATCATTCCAACACCACTAAAATTCCTCATCTCGAATTTAAAGAATCTGGTTGCCATGCCCCTCTCCTCGGACAACTACATCATATGGCACATACAACTAGCTACTCCAACACTTTACTGCAAACGGGTTCGTCGACTTCCTTACCGACGAGACCTCGTGTCCTCCTGATACTTCCTGCGCTGATTATACCAAATGGCGGTTGATCAATCAAAATTTGATCTCCATGCTATTTTCCACAATCTCCCCAGTGATTCTCGCCTACGTCCTATCCTCCACCACCCACGAGGTATGGAAAATTCTTGCAAGAAGAATGCAACCTACAAATTGCTCTCGAGTCATCCAACTCAAGAACGATTTACATCACATCCAAATGCGCAATTCTTCTATGCAACAATATTTCATGCAAATCAAGACTCTCGTGGACAATATAGTTGCCTCAGACTCACACCTCGACAATGAGGACATTATCCTCTACATCTTGAACGGATTACCCTCCACCTACAACTCGTTCAAGACGATGATTCAGACCTCTCTATACCCCATTGATCTTGATACTCTTTACTCACTCTTGTGAAGTAAAGAGATCAATATTCAACAAGAAACACACAAAGAAGCATCAGCATTGAACAACACCGCATTTTACGCCTAGTCCACAATTCTAGCTCGCGATAAAGGATTGTATCTCTCTGTCAAGAACCAAAATTCAGCAAATCGAAAGTCTTTCTGTGGTCCCATGCGTCTGCCATGTGGTTCAAATCAAACTGAACGACTGACCTATCAAATTTATGGTAAGCTTGGTCACATTGCTTTGAATTAGTATCACAGGTGCAACCTCGAATACGCACCAACAACAACTTCGTCTACTCCGAGAGCGCTCCTTACGCAGCAGTCTCCGACCCAAACAAGTGATATGATTCTTGATTCTTGTGCATTGACTCATCTTACTCTAGACCTCAGCATTCTCCAAAAAAGTTCCACCTATCAAGGACCCAACTCTGTCTTTATCACAAATGGGTCCTCTCTACCCATTCAAAACTCTAGACAAGGCCTTCTTCCACTTCCCGACTCAGTTCGTAAGCTCTACCTTCAAAACTTACTTCATGTTCCAACATTAACTCACAATCTTATCTCTATTTCAAAATTAACTGACGATAATCAAGTTTCTATTTGTTTGATGGTAACGGCTTTGTCATTAAAGACTTACAGGACAATCTTCCTCTTCTTCATGGTCGATTGCATAATGGGCAGTACAAACTCCAGAACTCCTCCACTAATCGACTAAAAACTCTTCTAGCTACTAAGTCCTTGGCTCAGCTTTGGCATGCCAGGCTCGGTCACCCACATCATGGGGTCCTCACCAACCTCCGATGAATGCTACCTGATCTTGATTTTAGCTCTGCGAATTTTCTTTGTACTTCTTGTAATATGGCCAAAAGCCATAAACTACCTTTTAATAAAAGTACTACTACTTCTCCTCACGCATTTTACCTGATTCACTCTGATGTCTGGGGCCTTGCCCCTCAACAATCTCTAAACAGCTTTAATTACTACATAATTTTTGTCTATGATTTTTCAAATTTTACTTGGTTGTACCTTATGCACTCCAACAATGAAACATTTTCCAAATTCAATCATTTTTTCTCATTAGTAAAAAACTCTATTCAATTATACTCCCAAATTCTTTAGATCTAACGGCAGTGGCAAGTTCACTAGCACTCAATTCAAAATGTTCTTGTCTTCTCACGGCATCACCCACCAAATCAGTTGTCCCCACACACTCGAGCGAAATGGGACCACATAATGAAAATATAGTCATCTTCTGGAGATCACCCGGGCTCTTCTTCACACATCTAAACTTCCTACAAAATTCTGGACCAAAGCAGTCTCCACCGCAAACAATCTCATCAATCGACTTCCATCTAAAGCTTTAGCTCTACTAATTCCATACTAGTTGCTCCATGACCATCCTCCCTCCTACAACCATCTACACACCTTCGTCTGCCTCTATTTTTCATGGCTCTGACCATATGCCACAGATAAATTATCACCTAGATCATAATCATGAATTTTTCTTGGGTATTCTTCTCAGAATAAGGGCTACAGATGCTTAAATCCTCTCACAAACAAAATCTAAATCTCTCGGCACGTCACCTTTCACGAACACATCTTCCTCTACAATGACTCAACCAATTCAAATCCCACCACCCCGATTCCCGCACCTAACACGACATCCTTCCCTCCACTTCTTCTCACCCCGACATCCGTTCTGAATTGCCCTTCTTTCTCTCCACCGCACACTGACTACAAACAAATTTTTGCTCCCACACACACGGATAAGTCGGGTGCAACCCCGATCACACATATTAAACAGTCTCTCATGGAGGCATCCAGTCAAGCGAACAGACCTCAACCACCACATCACATGCAGACCCATGCAAAATCAAGTATTCATAAACCCAAACAAATTTTTGATCTTTCGACCACTATTTCCCCTTCCCTCACACCTACCAGCTATGCCCGAGCATCAAAATTCAAACACTGGCGCTCCGCAATGTCCGTTGAATTCCACACTCTTCAACGGCAAGGTACGTGGTTACTTGTTCCACCTCCCACCAAAGACCCAATCCTCGGTTGTAAATGGACATTCAAAACCAAAACTCTACTTGATGGAAAGATCGACCGACACAAGGCACGATTAGTCGCTCAAGGATTCAATCAAATGCTGGGAGTCAACTATTCTGAAACCTTTTGCCCTATCACAAAAATGCTAACAATCAGGGTGCTGCTCACTCTGGCTCTTCACCGCAACTGACCCATTCTTCATCTCGACATATCAAATACCTTCCTTCACGGGGACCTTATGGAGAATGTCTAGTAGGAACCTATATGTCTCTTTGGAGACATCAATTAAAAAAAAAAAAATAGAAACCTATAAATAAATTGAAAAAGCCATAGGGTTATAATCTAAATCTCTTATAGATGAATTTATAATCTTCTTTAGCTCTTCAAGCATTGATTAAATTAGGATTTGTTGCTTGAGATGAATTGTCCATAATTGAACTATGCAGCTGACAAACTAGTTATAGAGAAAGTGGAGGGATAACAATCTCCAAAGGGAAATTATCATCTGCAGAATCTAAGGAGGTTATGTCTTTATGCATTGCACAAATTGTTATTAAGAGTTAATTATTCTTGATAAGATTGGGGTCCTAATTAAATTACTATTTTGTTTGACGCAAAAATGCTCAATACTTAGGTTTCATTTGGGACGACTTTCTTACTGTTTCTTAAAGCAGTTTTCTAAACTAAAATTTTAATTTTTTACTAAAAAGCTGCTTTATTCACATAAAGCTCTCTTATATTTATTTTCTTAAAAAAGTAAGGAAGTTTGAACAAAAAAATTAAAGCGACATACAAATGAATAAATTTGAACATTTGCTCGCACATTTATTTATATTTTTATAATATGTTCATTGAGTTTTTAATTTGAACAACATAAATTACTTCTTTGATGATGGATTAATTAAATTATTTTTATGTTTTTATATTAATTTTGCTTATATCAGATGTAATTGTAAATTTTCATGTAATATTAATGGCTTAAGAATTATTAAAATATTGGACAAAACTAGATTGATTGATTAAATTTTTTATTAAGATTTAAACAGTACAAAAATATAGAGAAGGATATCAATTTTGATAAAAACTTATGAATATATGTATGCTTAGCATTAATTCTATGCCTTTAAACTGCAAAAATTTTAAATATAGTTAAGCTTGATTAATGCTCAATTTTAACTTGAACTCAATATGAAAAATTAATAAATAAGTTTGGACAAGAGTTTAAAATTTCAGTCAGTTTTATGTTTGGCTCAAACTATTAAAAATTTAATAAATGGGCATGATTAGAGTAATACTCAATTTGATTTGGCTTATTTAAAATCATTCTTAAGAATCTTTCAATGTTAGTTCCACTCTAAATTTATCAGATGTAGCCAAATGACGCAGGGCATATATCTTTGCCATCAATGTTGGCATATAGTCTAGATTCATGTTATGAGAAAATCATTACGAGCAGAGTCCGTATGTAGCTTTGTGTACGAACCCAAATTAAATGAAGGAACATAGCTCTAGCCTGACCTGATGACCCAACCTACCTCTATACATATTGTGTACAACTTGTACACAGCATGTGTACGAAGAGAATTTAAACCCACATTGGGCTGGGTCAGGTGTTGGGTCACGTTAGAAAAAAAATCAACGTCTCCACATTTAATTGGAAGTTCGTGTAAGAACCGAGAGATAGAAGAGAGAAAGAAGAGTACGGCTTACACGAGAAATGCAAAAGGAAAAAATATATTCATAAAGGAAGATTACAGAGAAATATATAGAGCTTAGGAGAGATAGAGAACTAGCTAATTTACAAAGAAACCTAAAGGTAGCTGACATGTTTGTTATCCTAAGAGACCCCCTCAAATTGATCATTCAGTAATTGAATGGTTAATTTGCTTCGTAGTTTTTCGAATCTAGCAGTAGCAAGAAACTTGGCAAGAACATCAGCAATTTGATCGATGGAGCTAATGTGCTCGATGGTGATTGAACCGGAGTTGATGTGCTGACGAATGAAGTGATAGTCTATCTCGATGTGATTTGTTCGAGCGTGAAATACTAGATTATTGGCGAGAGCAATTGCAGATGTGTCATCGCAGTAGATGGTAGTTGGAGATTGTTGCGTAATCTGTAGTTCGTCGACTAGTCGACATAGCCATAAAACATCCGAGGTAGCAGCTGAAAGAGATTTGTACTCCTCCTCTGTAGACGACTTGGCCATGGTTGTAACATTGGTTGGTCATTCCCTGTAAGTAGAATATCGTCCACATAAATGAGAAAGTACAGTTGCGATAAAAAATAAGAAGTGAGAGGTCGGAATGACTGAACCTGAACACGAACTATTGGAGAAGGTTTGTAAGATTCTGAAATCATTGACAAGCCCCCTGTTTGAGGCCAATTAATGATTTTTGAAGTTTGCAGACATAAGTTGGGTGTTAAGAGTCAATGAAACCTAGTGATTGACACAATTCCTTAATGAGGAAGCAAGAGCCAAAAAGAAACAATATGAAAAGGCTTACATTAAAATTTTATTTGGGACAATTTTTTACAGTTTTTTAAAATTATTTTTAATACAAAAAATTTTAAATAAAAAAGTTATTGTACTAAAAAAATTATTTTTGTAAATAATAAAAAAGGTATTACGAACAAAATCTTAATCCCTAGAACATCAAGAATTTTCCTGAAGATGGAATTATGGAAAACTGATAAAGGTTAGCTTGTTATTACAGGTTTAGAAATAACTGGTTATTTTGTGGTTACTTTTGATCATTTATCCTTGTGATCTTAGCTATTGTAAATATTTTTCTTTTAATTTAAGAAAAATCAAGAATAAATCACTGACAATCCAATTTCTATATTATTCATTTAAATCTGTCAATAAAACCAGAATATTTTTTAATAGTGATCATGTTTCAAGAAAAAAACTTATGCATACTCACAATTTTTTCTCTGGGAAAATACTCATAACTTTTCGGAGATTACTAAATCATTATCTTTAATCACCAATATTATTATAAACACTTAAGCTTTGTTTGGGACGGCTTTCTTACTGCTTCTTAAAGCAGCTTTCTAGTACAAAAATTTTAATTTTTGTACTAGAAAGCTATTTTAGGAAGCAGAAAGAAAGCTGTCCCAAACGAAGCCTTAATCTCACAAGAAAACGAAAATGACTTAACTCATAGCAGTTTATGGAGGATAGGAGAGCATTTGCTGCTGATGGGACAGAAGCGTGACGTGCAGCTGGACGCAAGCATCATATCAATCTGATAGCACCAAATGGTTTGAATATCAGGAAAGAAACAGAAAAAGATAGAAGAAGGCAAGAAAAACCTTTTTTCAAGCTTTAAACTAATCAATCAGAGAAACAACAGGCTTGGTCAGCAAGCCAGTCCTTGGCTCCTTGCTGAAGACGGTTCTACTTGAATGAAAGAAATTGTCTTCTCGCTTTCATGGGGACTTTTCGCGCTGTAGTTGTAGCTTTAACTTCTCTTACTGGTCGTATTCATTTCTGTCTTTTCGTTTTAGCAAAGTCATAGGCAGAAAATATTGTTCATGCATGATAGATGTGAGGTTTCCACTCTGCAGCTCGATGGAGATGTTAGGCCGAATGTTATGAAGGAGCATAGTATTTTTAAGAGAGTTTCTTTTTTTAATAATTTTAGGAAGAAATAAGTCATCTATTATTCAGGACAATAGCTCCCCAAAGTCGCCTAGGGGATAACCGGCCGGCCAATAGTTTTTATCTTCCTAAAAATATTTCAACTTTTTCAAAATTTTAAAATAATAAATTACTCTTCATATTTTAAAATTTTAGAATTAAATTAATAATTTATTTTAAAATAATGTTGTGAAACCATGGGCGGATGCCCCTGTTAAGGGAGGGTGGGCAAATGTCCACCATAAAAAAAAAAAAACAATTAATATAGTAGAAGGGGCATTTTCAAAATTCACCTCTCCCCCTTAAAAAAAAAATTTTTTGTCCTAAATTTATCAATCGTGAGCCAGCTTGCCCATCCCGTTGTTCGAATTATCACTTCATTGTTCCGCCTATTGGCAGCCGCCTTCGCATTTGTGATGAGGTCGCCGCATTCTCAGTTTGTTGCTGTCTTCGCCTTTGTGTAGAGGTCGCCACAGCCCTCTTGTTCGTAGTCGCAGCCCGCAGCCTTCATCTTTGTGAATCTCGTCTTCCCAATCGCCTTCATGAATCTAGACTTCCGGGTTCGCAGTCCACATTTACATTATTGAAGATAACTTTTATCTGTTTTGGCGCCCCCTACTACTCCACTTGCTCTATTTCTTGCTTCTATTTTTTCTTTTATCTGTATATTGAAAAATTTCAGTTTACAATAGGTATTTTTTGGTTGAGGAGCTTGAACTTAAAAATTATATTCTTATATTTGACAGGTACTTATAAATTATTGTTCATTTTTAACTTGAGAGCTAGCAATTTTTATCATACTGTGAACTATGTTTTCGGTTTACAGTAGATGTTTCGTTACAAGTAGGATTTAACTGAAGCAGAATTTGGTTAATGGCATACATCGTTTAAATCCTCCTGTTGAAACCGAATTTCATAATTTCAATCAAATGAAATAGCATCTACCAACTGCCCAAACCCTTACCAATTTCATTTACAACATTTATAGTATTAGGAATCAATATTATACATGTACCGGTTACACTTGTAATACTTTATATTTCTCTGTTTGCCTATATAAAGGCCTGTATACCTTTACTTTAATATTATTCACAATTCACAGTTTCTATTCTCTGCTTTCTTGCTTCTTCCAAGACTCCTGTACCATCTCTTTCATGGTATCAGAGCCCAGGCTTCTCCCTGGCTTCTTTCATGGCTGAACAAGGTTCCGCCGTGTCCTCCTCACCGAATCAACACATCCTCTACGGCAGCTCATCCGACTACACAGCTCCGGCGCCACTCAAATTCTTGATCTCCAACCTTAAAACTCTCGTTCCTCACCCACTCACTGCAGAAAATTACCACATATGGCGCATTCAGATCTTGCAGCACTTCTCCGCAAACGGCTTCTCCGGCTATCTTACCGGAAACATCATCTGCCCGTCCGACGACTCCAGCAACGAGTTCTTTAAATGGACACTGATCGATCGGAATCTCATTTCCGCCCTTTTCTCCACCATTTCCCCTGCTATTCTTCCCTACATTCTTTCTTGCTCCACCGCTCAAGATGTTTGGAAAACACTCGAAAAACGAATGCAGCCAAACATCCGTTCTCGAGTAATTCAACTCAAGAACGAACTTCACACAATTCAAATGGGCAACTCAACCATGCAACAATATCTGATGCGTGTCAAGAATTTAGTTGACAACATCTCCGTCTCAGGATCACAAATCGACACCGAAGACATTCTCATTTTTATCCTAAATGGCCTTCCCTCGTCATACAATTCCTTCAAAACCTCCATTCGCACATCTCTAAACCCCATTGATCTTGACACCCTCTACTCCCTATTGTGCAGTGAAGAGATCGCCCAGCATCAAGAAACTCAAAAAGAGGCTTCCGCATCTCATGCTGAATCGGCATTCTACACAAACCGTGCTTCTTGGTCCAAAGGAAACAGCAACAACAATCGCACACACAAGAATCGTAAATCTGATAATCGGAACACTCCTGAAGCCGCTCGTCCACCCTCAACTACCGCAAAGACCGATCGACCTTCTTGTCAGATTTGTGGAAAACCAGGTCACATAGCAATCAACTGCTGGCACCGGTGCAATCTCAAGTACGCACCGACCACCACATCTACTCCTCGAGCGTACCTCTCGCAGCAATCCTCCAATCCCACGACCGACTGGATCATGGACTCCGGGGCTTCCAGCCACCTCACATCAGACCTTGGCAACCTTCATCAAAGCTCTGCGTACAACGATCCAGACGCAATTTCCACCGCCAATGGATCTTCCATGACTATCCAGCACTCCGGTCAAGGGATTCTACCCTTACCGGACTCGAATCGTAAGCTTTATCTAAGAAATCTTCTTCATGTTCCCTCCTTAACGCACAATCTTCTTTCAATTTCCAAACTAACCTCTGATAATAATGTCACTATCCACTTTGATGCTAATGGGTTTGTTGTTAAGGATGTTTAGGATCAACGACCTCTTCTTCGTGGTCAACTATGTAACGGGTTATATCATCTTCGGATAGCATACTCCAACCAACCAACTTCTCTTCTTGCCACGCAATCGCCTGCCTCTCTGTGGCATGGGAGGCTTGGACATCCTCATTCCGGTGCTCTCCAAGAACTTCGACGTCTTCTACCCGGTTTAGGACAATTTAATTCTCATTTTCACTGTATCTCTTGTTGTTTGGCCAAGTTCCACAAACTTCCGTTTAATAAACGAACGACGAATTCTTCGCATATTTTTCAATTAATCCATTCGGATGTCTGGGGGCCAGCTCCTCAACAATCATTAAACGGTTTTAACTACTATGTCATTTTCATAGATGATTTTTCAAAATTTTCATGGCTATATCTAATGCATTCAAAACAAGAAACATTCTCCAAATTTAGTCATTTTTGTGCCTTAATAAAAACAAGATTCAATTCCACGCCTCAGTTTTTTCGTTCTGACGGCGGAGGAGAATTTAACAGCACACGTTTTAAAAAATTTCTTGTCATCTAACGGCATTACCCATCACATTACGTGCCCGCACACGCCGGAACAGAACGGTGTCGCCGAGCGTAAAAACAGACATCTCGTGGAAATTACTAGAGCCCTTCTACATGCAGCCTCTCTACCGAAAAATTTCTGGGCAGACGCCGTTTGTACCGCAAACTATTTAATAAATCGGACGCCTTCCAAATCCATCTCTCAACGTATTCCCTACGAAGTTCTTCATGGTGTCAGTCCGACTTATGATCACCTTCGAGTCTTCGGCTGCTTGTGCTACCCGTGGCTTCGTCCATATGCCAACGACAAACTCTCTCCGAGATCGCAGCCCTGTATCTTCACAGGATATTCAGCTCAACATAAAGGCTACAAATGCTTCAACCCTCTCACTAATCGGACACATATATCACGTCACGTCACATTTCACGAAACCATGTTCCCTTATCAAGCTCAACATAACGATTCAGGTATGCCTTCCGCACTCACAGACAATTTTATCTCACCACTACTGCTTACTCCCACAGGGGCTCTCAACCCGCCAATTCAATCATCTCAAAGGATGCAAACTGAACCATCACCGTCTATTGGAACGTCCAGCTCTACTGTCTTACCTCTCGGCTCCCCTACAAGTCACAACACCACACCTCTCCATGTTACTGCCTCGCCGGTCGTACCTCGTCACAACCCTCACCCGATGCAAACAAGAGCTAAATCAAGGATCCACAAACCAAAAACTATCTTCACTCTCTCGGCCATCCCTTCCCCGCCCATCACACCGACTACCTATGCTCAAGCGTCTAAACTTCCGCAATGGCGTGCCGCAATGAACTCCGAATTCCTATCCCTTCAACGTCAAGACACGTGGACTCTGGTTCCCCCTCCCACAAACGATCCGATACTTGGTTGCAGATGGACGTTTAAGACTAAACTGTTACCCAACGGCACTATCGATAGATACAAAGCTCGCCTTGTGGCTCAAGGCTTTAACCAAACCTTGGGTATTAACTACACGGAAACCTTCAGTCCCGTGGCCAAAATGCCAACCATTCGTGTCCTTCTAACACTCGCAGCTCATCAGAACTGGTCCATTCGTCAGCTAGACATCTCTAACGCCTTCCTTCACGGAGATCTAAAAGAAACGGTTTATATGCGTCAACCCACCGGATTCATCGACAATGTTCATCCGAACTACGTCTGTAAACTCAACAAATCCCTCTACGGCCTTAAACAAGCGCCTCGTCAATGGTTTCACAAACTCACATCCCTCCTTCAACAATTCGGTTTCAGGTTTAGCCGTTCCGACCCATCATTACTTATTTTTAATCAAGATAATGTGCATTTATACTTTCTCATTTATGTCGACGATATACTTCTTACAGGGAATAATCAAACGGTCATCGCATCGCTTCTACAATTTCTCCAAGCTCACTTCGAACTCAAACAGCTCGGGGACGTATCTTTATTCCTTGGCATTAAAATTCTTAAAACAGATTCAGGTTATTTTCTTAATCAAAGCCATTATGACTCAAAAATTTTACAGGATGCGAGACTCGCCGACTGCAACGTGGCTCCAACTCCAATCACGCCGAAACGGTCCTCCGCCGACACCGATGATACACCGTTCGCCGATCCGCACCTATATCGGAAAATTGCAGGCTCTCTTCAATACCTCTCAATCACACGTCCTGACATCGCATTTGCCGCAAACAACATTTGTCAACACATGCACACTCCAACGGTTACTCACTATCAAGAGTTGAAACGTCTGTTGCGATACATCAAAGGCTCCCTGCACTACGGTCTTCCGATTTCCCCCGGGAATTTGATCCTCAGAACATATGCGGATGCTGATTGGGCGTCCGACTGCTCCGACAGGAAGTCGGTCTCTGGTTTCTGCACTTATCTCGGCAACTCCCTCATATCTTGGTCAGTGAAGAAACAACCAACGGTCGCAAAGTCATCAACCGAGGCCGAGTATCGGTCACTATCGGCGGCAGCGTCAGACGTACTATGGCTTCGTCGACTTGTAGATGAACTTCGCCTCTCTCAGCCGATCCCGACCAAAATCTTCTGCGACAACACTTCGGCAATAGCTCTGGCCAACAACCCCATCTTCCATGCTCGAACGAAGCACATTGAGATTGATTTTCACTTCCTTCGCCAACATATCGACGCCGGCAGCATCTGCATCGAACACATTAGCTCAGTCGACCAAATTGCAGACGCTCTCACCAAACCTCTTGCCACCGCAAGGTTTGAAATGCTGAGAGACAAATTAAACATTCGAACTTTAGAACGTTTAATTTGAGGGGGCATATTAGGAATCAATATTATATCTGTACCGGTTACACTTGTAATACTTTATATTTCTCTGTTTGCCTATATAAAGGCCTGTGTACCTTTACTTTAATATTATTCACAATTCACAGTTTCTATTCTCTGCTTTCTTGCTTCTTCCAAGACTCCTGTACCATCTCTTTCATATAGTTCCTATTTCTTTTTTCTTAGTGATGAACTTGTGTTTGATTGGTTGGTTCAGTCTAGTTTTAAGCGCTTCAACCTCAACTTGTTAATGAGTTATATGCTTGATCGATAATTTATGTTTTATTGAAAATTTCAAATTATTTTTAAGATGTTCTCAGTTATTTAGTAAGAGATGATTGTGATATCAGGAAATTTTAGAAGGCAAATTCTTGTATTGGTTATAATAATATTAGGTTGATGACCCCAGTTTTGAGTTAGAGGAGAGTCGGAATGAAGAAAATATAGCTTATGTGAGACGGTCTCCTGATTTTTTGACATATTTTTAGTAGGAAGAACATAATGATGGTAAGAAAATATTAGTTTCTTATAAGGGGAAAATAGAACGATTCTATTTTTAGTAGAAGTGTTATGTTGTTGCAAGATCCTCTATGATTTTATTTTTTTTGCTTTACTGAATAAGTTCTGCTGATTCTATTTACTAGGAATTTTGTGATTGACTAGATAATTATTAAGCTTTAGAAAAATGGAACAATTCTTGAAGCTAAAAGAACTTGATAAAATGGAACGATATTGTTTAGACACTGACTTTACCAGTTGCTACTTCTATAATAGAGAGAGTATTTTATGCAATGAAGATTAGTAAGCATCGGCTGCATAGCAAAATGAATAATGTCTGGTTCAATGACTGTCTAGTGTTATATATTGATAAAGAAGTATTTGATTTTGATTTGAATGAAGTCATTTTGAAACATTATCAGAAAATGTAAAGTTTATATTTTTTTATTTCATAAATTATAATGAAATATATGGCTTTGTTTTGAATTTTGCTAATGATATATATATGGGCTGGACCTGCCACTATGTGAAACAGTTAAATTTAAATTTTTTCATTAATATAATATTTTAAAACAAGTAAGAATCTTTTTAATCAACATTGTAATTATACATTCTATGAAGTTATCAGAATTTTAAGATATTACAAATATTTATAATTTTATTGTATTTTCTTAGGAAGAAATATTTACAAAATAAAATAATCTAGAGTTTATGTCGTATTTATGCCACTATATTGACGTTTTAAGAGTTTAAAGGCTCAATTTGTCATAGAAGAGGAAGAAATATATCTTATTACCGCAAGGGAATTCTAATGCAAATTATTGTAGCTAAAAAAAAATTAGGAGAGAGCACCTTTTTTATACTTTTTTTTTTGGGACATTTAGGCCATTTAAGGCAAACTCACACACACAACGCATACACAGAGAATCGAACCTTAGACCTCTTAGTTGGAAGCCTTAGCTCTCAACCAATAGGCCAAGGAGAGTTGTGTCCTTCTTTATACTTAATACATGACACATTTAGTCCTAACAACTTTGAATTCCTTGTACCCATAAAATCATAATTTAAGGCTTCATTTGGGACGACTTTCTTTCTGCTTCTTAAAGAAGTTTTCTAATATAAAATTTTTTTAATAAAAAGCTGCTTTAGGAAGCAGTGATAAAACCGTCCCAAACGAAGCCTAAGTCTTATATATAATGTTTCCCCATAAGATCATTACAGTAATCCCAAATGCATAAGTTGCTTAAGAGAAAAAAACATTGAAGTTGCTAAGTGGTATTCAATACTTGATTTGTAATTTATTTATATAAATTTTGTAGTGACTCTGTAGATAGATATATACAACTAGTATATACACAATGAAACAACACAATCCATCTTTCCTTTAAAAAAATAATGTATATTATCAATTAAATAAATTTTATCAAATTAAATGATATCCATCATATTAACTACATCATGGTGATCTAGTCTTTCTTCCTTGATTTGCTCATCTCCTACTAAGTAAAACATGTAATTATAGAAGAAGTAATACATACTTATAACATAACCTATATTTTTTTTTAGTTTAATCAGCATATGGCCCTATTATGTCTAACTTAATTAAAATAGTCGAACAATCATTCAAATCCAAGAACTACAATCTCAACTAATGTGGAAGACCCCTTGATACATTAAGCTATATTTAGTAATTCTGAAATACTCTGACACAATTGAAGTGGGGTCCACTCATCTAGTGTTATAAGAAATAACTACATGTGCGCAAGATATGTGATAAATTGTATGTCAATTATAGACACATGTTTTTTACCACTACCATAATTATCTACCCAAAGTATTTTGAAAAGCAATCATACAATTAGTACTCATATGCATTAATATATATTTGATTTGGAAGGTGGTGTGCTTCTCTTTTATATCTCTAAATCAAGATCACCAACATTAACATAATGGCAAATTTGCTGGTTATCAGTAATAATTCATAGCTTTCGTTAAAAAAGAACATTTATATTGTTGCAGTCTATGACCTCTAGTCTGATATTTTGATGATGACAAATAATGTTGATTGAATTATCTTATTATTCATTGAATATTTTAAATGTTGCTCTTGTGTGTGAGTACTAACATTTTAGGGAGATAACATATTGCTCAAGACAACAAAAGACTCGAGACTGGGTAGAATAGGATGTAAAGGAGTATGTAACTTTATATTTTTTATTTATTTATTTTCCTTCTTGAGACTTGCCACAAAAACTATATATAAACTAAACAACACGCACACACACAGGGGGGGGGGAGAGTTTTTTTTAAGAAAAAAATATATTTTTTGTATATCGTACAGTACGATTTTAAATCGTACTGTACAAAACATAGTGACTCAAATGGCTATATTATGTGAAATAATTGTACTATATGATCATGATCGTACTGTATGATTCAGTTTCAATTCGAAACCCCTTGCCGCCATATTAATTTAAGCAAGTTTTTAAATCATTGAATTTTGAACTAATCATACTGTATGATGTGATCGTATTGCACGACTATTTGAATACTTACTAAAATTTACCCCCATGATTAGTCAATTAAATCAAGGCTTAATTACTGATTGGTGATCGTACTGTATGACATGGTTCTTACCTTACGATGAACCGAGGCTATTTTTGATCATCCCGAAGATTGTACCAGACGATCCCTTTTTTTTTAAACTAATCATATCGGATGATCTATACATCATACTGGACGACCTGAAGAGTTTAGCTAATCATATTGTACGAGTTGTATAGTATCGGGTGATGAATAGAGATGAATTTAGGTCATCCCAGCATTCGTCTTGTACGAACAAAAGAAGTTTACAACATCATATTGGATGATATTTGGATTTTTCTGTACGATGTAGTTCAAAATAGTTGCATGTTTGTACTCCTTCGTACAAGGATGAAAGCTATTTTGAACTGATCGTACTGTACAAATAGAAATGGCTAAATTGAAAATCTTACAGTTTCTTGGAGCCTGATATTTAAGTAGTGCTTTTGTCTTTTAAATTAAGAGAGAGGAATGTGATAAAGGATGGGAACTTTTGAAAGGGAGCTTCTTGAAGGGATTTAGGGCTTGTGAGAGGAAGGAGAATGTGAGTTTGTGAGGGAGGAGTGTGAGGGGGATCACACGATTGCTCCAAGCATGCTGCACACTTGTTCCTCTTGTGGCCCAAGAAAATCATATGGGAGATCTCTAAGGGGAGAGCCTTCAAGATCGATGTCCTCAAAGGTCCTCTGCCATATCCAGGAGGGAGAAAAATGAAAAGGTTTACTTCCATCACTGGGAGGGTGGCAAAGCGTTTGGTACTCTTCCACACTAAGAAGGTGAAAGTGAGGTTGTGTAATGACTTCTCCGCCTTGCTATGGGGGAAGAAGAAGAATTACTTTTGAGTAGTGAATTTCTCAGAGTGGACTCTAGGGAGTGAACGTATGTCAAGTGATCGAACCACTATAAATTTTTTGGTGTGCTTTTTCCATTTATCGCACTTTATTTTCATTTTGCATCTTACAATTGCAATAACTACTTGGTTAGAATTCTATTTTAGAATTTTGTTGTGTGATTTAAAATTTCATCATCATTGTTGCAATTTAGTTTTAATCACTAGCTTCCTCTTCAAGTTAAGTTATTTTTTGAAAATCACAAAAAAAAAAAAAAAAATAGAACTCCTATTTAAGATTTGTTTTTTATTTCAAAAAATATCAATTCACACCCCCGCTCCCCTCTTTTGTTGCATCTCATACTTTTATATATTGTAAGATATATGAAATACTAATACTTGAATAGGTAGCGTGCGTGCACACTAATATTATTATTATAGAATTCAAAATCATTTATTGTCATAATTTCATAGACAAAACCATTGTAATAGTACAATATCATTTTTTTTACATCTCACTCCGAAGCCAGCCATTTCTTTTCTTTCTTTACATTAAAAAGATTATGCATCTACAAATTAAAAATATTTAAATCAATCATACTCTCACCAAAGTACATTTTCTACACAAGATTTCAACTTCTTTTAATCTCATTTGACATAAATCTGTCTTAGAATTTTATCTTAAATGATAAAGATATTATGATGAGCAATCCATGGAAAGATCTCCTAACCATCATAGACCAAGCTAGGGTGCTTATAGGACACGATGCAATTGTTATGTTGACAACAAATGGTTTCATTGGAGTTAAGTAAGTTCCGTAAGGATAACATCCATCGATTAATACACTCTAACTTAATAATGCAAATGAAAATATGACTATATCATTATTTGCATTGATCCCAATCATATTCAAAAGAGTACCCCTATACTTCCCAAAAAGAAAAGTACCATCCATATTCTATAAAAGTGGCAATGAGATCAGCCTACAATAGATGATCCAAAACTCTAGACCAAGCTTATAAAAAAGCTTTGATGAAGTAAAACTAATATTTTAAAATATACCTAGTATTACAAA